GCGAAGAACACGTTTCATAACTATTTGCTAAAGCTGGCGAAGGAACCAAGTAAAATATTTGAAATTTATGACATTCTCAAATAAAGCATGCCTTTGCGTTGCTAACAGCAACGAGTGCTTAAGTTAATATTCATCTTTAACTATTTATTTTAACTAAAACTTGAAATGTAACTACCAAATGGTATATACACGCAAGCATGATAAATAATAAAGTTAATACATATACTCGGAATGTCATTTTCTCAGCAAATGCCAAGAATATAAATCTGTTCGCTTTTCCTTAATGCACATAGCTCTGGATGCAATATAAGGTACAGCTATATTTTACTCCGACGTTTCGGCTTCTGGCACAGAAGTCATCAACAGGAAGACTTCACAACACAAGGATACAATATGCAATTGGACAGTAAAGAACAGGAAAATAACGAAACAACTGTTCTACAAAAGACGATCAAAAAATGTACAAGAGTATTAAAGGAACTTTACGAGAAGAATGAACAGAGTTTTGAAACCGGAACAGTCAAGGATATCGTGAAAATTAATAAAAGAGTGTTTTTATATTAAAGTTCATACAATTAAATAAATATCGAAGAGCTGTCGATTTGTCGCCTGCCGAATAAGTCAATATCATCGCTTTCGGATTTACGGCTCAAGGCAACAGGTGAAAAATACTATACAAACTCCACACGAAGAAATAAGACTTCAGATTCTTAATTCTGAGCTAATGGTTAAGAGTGAACGATTCATGGTTCAGGGCACCAAACAGTACATCATAAAAGCTTTATTGGCCACGTGTTTCGCAACATACACCGTAGCATCATCACTGTTGTTCACAAATGGCTGCTTGAAGACATTTATATCCAACAAGCAAGCAATACTATAGTTTTCAAATTGATTACATACCTTACAAACAAAGAGCGGTCAAACTGCTTCACAAAATGATTACCTACAAACACAATGTAAAGTACACAATAAAAATTAAATAGAATCCGTATTATGTTGATCTGATTTTGAATATCAAACTCGTGACTGTACCTCAGCTTTCTCTAGTAACAACAGAAGATGTATTTTCATTGCAGATTCGGAATCTCATTGCTAGTATACGCAATGACTTCTTTTCCAGGAGATCTAATTCAGAATAATCTTTGTCCATGACATATACATTGATATGACTGAAGGAGTGCCGCTGGGTAATCGCATGCTGGGTAAATTCTACTACTCACCGATGCGTTTCGAAAACACACCAGCGTCATCATCACAATTATGGCGTACAAATGAAACAGCATCACTGAAATGTGAAAAATGTAAACTTTGACTAACAAAAACGTTTATTTTATCAGTTCTTCCAGAAAAGCTTATCAATGACATTCCAGCTGTCATTCGAATCGTGCCACAACTCTGCCTTTAAAGTAAAGCACTCCTGGATAATGATATGGAAATAGAAATCAGCGCCCCACCACTAGCATTTCAAGAAAAGGAAAGCGTTAGAAACGGCCCGGATGTACGACATTTCTAACCGCTACAAACTGTCGCTTTTCCTTTTCATACGTCAACCATTACGTGTAGTGTCCAGCTTTCTTCCAAAATAGTGGCACTCATTTATCAACCTCAAAGTAAAGAACCGTGAGTGACTGGACCAGGTTTACAGTGAAATGTACACTGAGGATGCAACAGGGTACATTATTTGGACTAAGGTAATCCTAACGTTCGTTAACTATGTCGTTTTTTCTCATCAACTTATGAATATTACTACGGATACCGAGTTACATGTCAAAAGTACTGTAGCATTTTACGGATGGTGGCTATTACACGGGGTTGTAACACAACATTGCACCACCCCCTTTTCTCTAACCTTCTAGGGGGACCATTTAAGCAGGACACGACTATAAAGGTATTTAGGCGATTGCATGGCAAGAGAAACATACACCGACTCACAGAGTTCGTCCAAACAAGAACATGTTCGAGACTGTTACTAAGATTAGTATTGATTTTGTCGAAATATTGTTTTACTAATCTAACGATGGTAACGAAAGAAAAAATTCTAAAGCTAAACGGTACACTTGCGTTAATCCATAAACGATATGTTAAACGGAACTCTTCATAATAAGTTCATACCAGTTTATAGTTTGATTTCAGGCTGTACATATCATTATGAATGATCAAATTAATGCAACAGTCGTACGGGCACGTGCTTACCCTCGTCAAGCTTGGACGAACGGACGCTATGGTGGGTGACCAACGTGAATACGACGATGAACCTCGCCATCTGACCGGTGAAGACACACATTTTATTGTCCTGCAGACCAGTGGTCACACCAGTGGTCATTGAGGCAACATCGAGACGTCTTCGACATGGAGGCGAAAAAGGGAAGACAACTGCTCCAGCTGCACATCCATCCGTCGGCACGCACCACGCGACTCTTTAGCCGCATCGACCGCAACAAAGATTTCATCGAAAAACGTAATGGGGACTCGGTTGTTCGTTTAATTTTTCACCGTACCGAGCAACGGCCAACTAAAAACAAGCAGCCTTTGTGAACAATGAGGCGAATCGTACAAAAACGTATCTGTACAAATTATCTGTGTGATTCGCGTCGCCAAAGTAAGAGTTTCAACTTTCAACACGCGCAGCTGTAGCTTCTCACGAAACGGCCGTAAAGAAACCTCAACCTCAACGATGTGAACCGCTTCTGCGACACTGGATCTTACTTGGCATGGCGGATGAAGCACAGAGGTCGAAAGAGGAAGCAATAATAATCACTAGCTTAGGCTTAAGATGAATCGTCTGACGACAGCCACAGAACAAACCTACATTATATCCTGAAATCGATCAAGTGAAACCCAGATCGAGACTTTGGCCAGTGGTTTCAGATCTTCACATGCTCGATGCTCTAAGACGTTTGTTTCTTGCTATTTCAGTGTAATCGCCCCTTTTCTACAGAGAATGTAGAATAATGCAAAACATCATGCTCTTTCTACTGATGGGCAGTAGAACCCACCTGATCAGAGGTAAAGCATGCTAAAATCGAGTAAAGTCATGGCAGAATTACACGCCTTCTTTCTGAAAATTTCACTTTTTCTGCAAAATTTATTATAAAATCTTTCAACGTGACAGCTCCAACTTAAACAAACCATCAGAAAATAAGTCCTACTTAAAACTCTATTTAATCCAACGTTTTAGAACAGATCAAAAAATACTTCATAAAAACGTGGTTTAGGACCCAATACAAAAACTGAATGTCATTGGAGATGCTTCCTTTTAAGAAGCTACTTACAAGCCACCCAGCAAAAGCCCGTTATGTAGTTTACAACACATGTGCATTGATTGTCATAGAACTCTTATTGGCAAAAGCTATAGAAAGCTTAATATTACAGCAGTCTGCAAGTATCATGTTGAATATTCTGGTATTGCATCACATGCCACTGGTGAAGGACATAGCGAAACGAAGCGAGAACTGATAAACGCGAATCCTGGTTAGGGTTATTGGTAAAAGAATCCCATATTTTGATACAAAAAACCAAATATGCCGTAAATACTCTTCATCCTCGGGTTAGCATTCAGATCCCAAAGAGCATTACGCAGCCAACTAAATAAATAAATCATAAATACATAAATCATAAACACTGTACCACTTATGGGATGAATGTGGTGCCAGCAGGGAGGTAACTCTAGTGCTCTGTTCACGTAGCAGAATACGAAAGAATACGTCTCAAATTTTTTGATCCTGGTAACCGTGACTGTCTGATACATCTGCGCTTCAACAGACATTTAAGTTTCATTTTACCCGGACAGCCACTGAATTAGAAGACTGCGTATCTGCTACCAGAAAATACACTCTTGGAGAGCGAGCCTTGGCCAAAGTAAGAAATCGCACGACAAGAGTTGACAAACGTTATTATCTCTGAATCCATGTGCTTAGAAGAAGCACAGTGTGACTGCGAACATCGGTTGAAGGAATTATGGGACAACGGCTGCCTCATTTCTCGAGGAAGTCGCGACGAAAGCTTGAATGATGTTGTCCATCCTCTGAACGGCGCCGATCGACTCACAGACCAAACTGGCAGATGATCTTGGCGGTGCTTCATAAATGAGTTCATGTAATGTGACGGAAATAGGTCCATCGTCTGGATCGCCAAGACGAGAAAAATCAATAGCTTGCAATAATGTTGCATAGAGCATAGTGCATCCGCATCGTCATCCACGTAAATGGACGATGGATCATTTCATCACCACTGTTTTCTTATGTGTTGACAATGAATCCAAACGAATAGCCGAAAATGTGTAAAATTTTCTGTGTGTTCAGAATGTGAATACACGATTACCAACATTTCTTAATATCATACGAGAAAAGAACATTAATTGCAAATTAACTATAATATATGAGAAAATATGAAACATCAGTTCTGCGACCGGAAACATTCCTCAGTATTATGGTGAAGTTACACTATACGTATAAACTGTTAAATTAAGAAATGACTAGTGATGGAATTACGATAGCGATGGAATTTATAAACTTTAATCTGACTTTCGGCTTTGAAAGAAGTGTTCACAACATCCACACTGTAATATATTCCTTAGAAATGCAAACATGATTTGAACAGTAACAAAGTCACGACACTTGACTGCCAAAAATAATATCCATGGCTCGTCATTAAAAAATCACTCAACAAGCGCAGGTTGTATAACATCGTTGAGTGGATATCGAATCATCGTAGAAGTTTTCGATGCAATTCCCCCCATCAAGCTTTAATTTTCTTTCGCTTTAACACCAATACCTCCTACCGTTTCCCTTCGCTAACACTTCCACCCGTTTTTGTTGTACTTTGCTGACTTCGTTCCTTGCAACACGCGATTTCGAAATCATTTCTGTACTTGGGAATCGCATTGTTACCGTAATTGCACTGTTGAAAACGCTTTGAAGCCGAAACATCGAATTAAACTTTATGCATCAATCATGGCTTTTTAAATTAAGTAATCTTTTATTAAACAGGTGCACAAGATTCATGTTGTTGGCACGCATTGAATCAGACTTCATACGAAACTCTGAAATAGACATTTGTTTTATTCTTCGTCATGAAATAAGTTACAATCTTTGACATTGAAATTGTTGAAAAATTCGTTGGTAGCAAATTAAGCAAATTCTGGGTCGATAACAAACACAAAGGAAGGTTTTCATCGCACCTACAACCCTCACATGACAAGTCGACAACCATGAACTGGGAGCAGATTAATATAAGCTATTGAACGAAAAATTCCGTAGCCGGGGAAATAATGAATATAAAGAGATCAGTTTGAAAGCCGTAAAATAAAGAACCAGTTTTTATCAGTTAACAGTAAACAATTCACATTTTCATTTCTACACTCACGTAGGCGTTTCGACAGTAATGGACAATGGACGAAAACTGTCGTTACAAGTTTTAGAAAAACGACCAAGATACTAATCATTATTTAAATGGCGACGGATGATTATCTACTCGAAGACAGAAGGAATGCCATCCCTTAGAAAACCAGATATCACAACTGTGGCAGCGCAAAGGTAGTTGTTCCCGTTTGTGACTTACGTAAAGATTATATATAAAATGATATAATAATGTTGCTCGAGCTTTTATATCTATGTCATCATTCACGTAAATGAAGGACGACATAATTCATAATCATTGTCAATATTAGTATGTCATAACAGAAGTAAAACCACATTCGTCCATATATGACTAGCTTCTTAATGATGAAACAGTCATCAGTAACGTTTAAAGGTAACGTCTGCCTTTGGAACTGCTGAAATGGCCAGAATTCACTAACAAAACGTGAACGCTATGATCATGATGGAGTAATTGATACTGACAATGGCAAGACGGATATCACCATGACAACAGTAAGGAAATAAATGTTAAGAGTGAAAAGCTGCATGTGCGTTGTAATTGCGGCAAATAACGTGTGATGAAAGGGGATTATTGCTTTGTTGAGTTTAGTTTATCACTTGAACGCTATCCTCGTCGCTTTCATACGGTTCTTTGTAAAACTAGGAAGTGACATCCATCCAGTTGCGTAATTCGAAAAATCAAGATCTTAGTAACGCTGGTAAACTTAATTCATGGTCATCGTCAACTCAACCTCATCATTTTTACCATTACCTGTTCAGTTTTAATGATCGAAGCGAAATTTTTTAAACACTGAACGTCTGGCCTCATGATAATTATCATGAAGATCGCTAATCGACTTTTGGCTGAGTACAACTGAGCTAGTGAGAATTTTCGTCAAAGACAGTGATTAAAATCATAATAGCAATTATGAACAGGACAATAGCAGCAACTATAATCACTAATATGAGGTAATGTAGTAATAGCCATCAAAACGATGATGAAAGAAAGCTGACTGCACAGGTACATGGTGAACACGTCGCCAGCTGTATATAACTGAAAGAGTCTGAAACAACGTGGCGGAAATAGAAGGTCGTATGACGGTAATAGACACCATTTGCTTTTTGCTCACACTTTTTCACGTCTTTTTCGCATATTCGGTTTTCGTCATCGTCTTGACCATCTTACAGTTCGTAAGGCTATGACTTTATGAGGCTTAAACTTCTTGAGCAACTGGTGCAAATCTGATAACGGACAACACAGCCACAACAGTCGTGTTGAACAGATGCAACAGAAACACTCTGAATACAGAGGCAATGGAACATAGCATCCATATAAGTTGTTAAGAATAATTAATTATATGGAACATCTGCTACTGTCGTGCTTTCAAGTTTCTTACTTTGGGAACAGAGCTGTACTGGTATTCGAAAGTTCTTCCAAAACCGCTTACCTACAACCCGAAACGAATAACAGCACCAGGCTAGCAATCCATAGGACTTTATATAATTTTAATTACGTCTGCGGCACGAGGAATACCTACTGGTGCGTTCGAACACGTTTCTGCTCGGTAGGTGCTGAAGTAGCATGAGACCGTGGCCTGCTTAAATGGCCCCTAGGGTACTAAACTAAGGTGCAGCCACATACGCCGTGCGAATGTGCATAAATGAGTGGAGAAGTAACGTTTCTTCTTGTATAATTATCCAGTGTGTCACAGTTGTTATAAAACTTAAGTAATTATGTAAATTAGGTAATAGAATGATACCAGAGTCAGTAAACGAGTGCACCGGAACCAGCAGAGGGACTAGGTTCCGAGCAACTAAAGGGCAGACTTGTACAGCCATGAACTACCTTCTTAATCATCGCTTTTATTAACCCCTTTCGCACATCACAGTCAAACCCTGAATGTTCCAGAAATCCAGAAAGAATAAACGATGAAAACTGAGAAAAAAAGAGAATGTAAAGCACCATAAAACTTAATGGAAAGCCGAGTGATGACTTTCCATAACCTTTCTCGTCTATGTCATTGTTTTCCTCGTTATGGCCCTATAGTAGACCCTTTAATCTCTATACTTGGCGATTGTCTGATCTATACAAGAGTTAGGCTGATAATAACCAGTGGTGTAAGTTATACCAGTTTACAGACAACGACGCGGGCAGGAAGATAACGGCACTAGCCAACTTGAAAAGTTTGACTCACCCATAGAGGACGACGAGAAAATAACCATCTGTGTCTGACATCTGATCGGTGCTCGACCACGAAAAAACCGTCTAATTGTGGAGACTCATTGGATCGTCAACAATGACAAACACTATAAACTAAAACACCGACTCTTTGTACTAGATATACTGATATATGAAGTGCCTTTCTATTCGTTTGGTTACTGCTGAAATAAACCATTTCTTTGTGGAACCTCAGTCTAGTGTTATTGTCCTAACGGTTCTCACTGCCGTTATCTTCTCTTAATTTTATCTATTATATCACAGCATAAAACATGATGAAGGCAAAAAAATATTACGAAAAATCGGATGACTGACCCTTATTGACGCTTGGGTCTGTGTCTTATGAGCGTTCTTTAAGGCATAACATTGGCAGAGATCCGAAGGGTTTTCTTCTTGTCCGCAACGGTGATAGATTTGGAGCCAGAAGGCCCGCCGCCAACGTACCAAAAAAATTCCCTCTCCTCATCATCATCACTACTGTAATCGTCAAGTTTATCATCACCATCTGTCACCTGAGTCTACTGAAAATTGTCCTTCTCTCCTTTCTCTTCGCCCGTTCATCAATCGACTCACAGAACAGTTATGGATCGCATCCCATCATAACAAAGAGATCGAACAAGTGCAAGCACTTACCGTTGTATGGAGTTTTACGGTGGTAGCTAATTAGCGAGAGAAAACGGAAAGCGATGAAACGAAAAAACCCTCGATAATCACTGAACCTCCACAGGCGAGAAAAAACGCCGCCAAACAAATCCATTAAGATCGTTAATCGTTTGTGGACGAAATCGAGTTGGAGAGCGCTTAATCACTGGCGGCAAACCGGAAACCAACGGCTACTTACCACGATGGGCAACGATAGAAAGAAACGCAGCTGTCGAAGATACGAGATGAGGGAATACCGACCGACTGACAGAAAGAACAGTCGAGGAGGAGGAAAATGCACCTCCTCGATCCACGTCGTCGCCGGCTTCGCCTCCCGATTATGTTCCTAACGTGGTGCGATTGTCCTCCAATTGACGACAAACGAAAAGGACGTGTCATCGACAAGAAGTGCATAAACGAAATGGCGTCGCTGTTGCCGATACGAATCGCGCCGCCTTGCATTTGTAGACCTGTGTTAAGGTATCGATTTCAATGAAGTCGAAGCCCCTTGGATCGTATGATGATGGAATAACGATTTTCCTCGGCAAACACCAGCCACTGCCAGGGGGAGGACAATAAAACGATCGCAGCCATGCGAGACTGCGACCCTCACCGAGCGCAGCGACGATGTGCGACAAGAAACTACATTAAATTAATAAAAACGCATTTCTTTTACAAACAACTACGATTTTTCCCTGGTTAAAGTTCAAAATTAATTTTTCACATGATGAAAGGCAGTGAGGGTCAGACACCTGCGTCTTTACACCATGTCCGTCTGTTTTCATATTTATCCCTATTTTACGTGCAATTCAACAGTATTTGATGGTTACTCAACCCAAAGTATGAAGGAGTCTGTGATTTGTCGATAATTCTTATTCCAAACACATACATACACAGATTCATCGATACAAAGATACAATATATGCATACATACATATACTCTGTTGTTCAATTCACGAGCACTAATGCTTTGGACAGTTTATATCAGCCAGTTTCACGCCAATAATTCATGCGGTTTCACGCAGACTCAATTCCGTATGCACTAAAATCATGCCCTTGGCAACAATCGTATATTTACTATACAACCTTTGATTATTCCGTGTCCCGGAAGGTAGTTGTTGATTCTTGGAAACTTGTCAAAAACTTGTCTTGTAACTGTGCTGAAGAAAAAATATAGCTTAGCACATCTCAGCAATTCCCGTCATAAAGTCGTTTCTCCATTTATCCAGAATACCTTCAACTTTTGATTCGCGATTATCACCAGAGGGTAATAGTTCTTCCGCTTACAGAATCTTCCCTAATACGCGTACAGAAAAGATTCACGCACAGCACATTACACGTCATGGCCAGTTACCGTTATCCACTTCACGTAATACTTGGACACAGAGAAAATACAGTCCCTTGAGTTTAGTTCTTTTAGACACTAGTTCTAAAATTTACACTTAATACAATTACGTGACCTCAATAACTGAATAAAGTGGTTCTAATTAGATTAGATAGAAGCTACTGCGCTGTCCTGGAAGTTACCACTGTACCAACAGAAAACAGGTTGTGGTCACTGCATCTCATATGTCCAATTTAGCAGTTCTCAAGCAACCACGCTGGTGTAGGGTGATGCTCGGCAATGTATCCCCACCTCTTCATCTTCTACACTGGAAATCTGCGGTTAACTGATTCATCACATCAAATACACGACAGTCACTACAGCTATAACTAACATCTCTTCACTTTTCACCTAATAAAATAACCTGTTCAGCGTTCTTTCAATTGTTGCTGCGGTTTAATCTCGAAAAGCATTAGAAAATGTGTCTTTTAAGTAATAATGTTTTAAAAATTTGATGTTTCACCTTACGTTCTTAAAAAACTGGTGATGTTAAAATTGAACGTGAAAATTTTACAAACGAACCTCCAGTTGTTCTACGTAAGGATTTGTCATAATTCGAATATTTGAAGCTGTTTGTTTATGAAAAGGGGAAGAGTGAGTACTATCTTATTCGTCTGACAATCTGAAACAAGGGTGGAGCTAGAAGGAGATTCTATGGTGTGTCGATCGCACGTTCTGGCTGCTTCGATTTTGAAGTTCTTGTCAAGGTACTCCTACAACGCATGCCGAAAACTTGTCTACGATTGGCCACCGGTATTCTTTCCAAAAGGAAATATTCGCTTCGTTCGACCCTGTCGTCCTGTTTACCCCAACATCCAGGAGGACAAGAAAATAAGTGCATATCTATTGTCAGACGAAACCGAGATGCTACTCATTCGTTTCAAGCTTGGCTGGCACAATCAACTATCCATCATCACTTGACAATAGATGTTGCTGCCTCCCGTTCGTTTTTTATGCTGAAAGATATCATCTTACATAAAACGTACATTAAGATGACATGTCACTATAGGAAGTGTAAAATAAAATGTATAAAATTGTCTCAGTATAATGCTGTTATACGCAATGTCTCCTGAAGACTGATCAAGCACGATCTAAACCCAGAATTACGTTAATTAAAATTTACGTGATGAGGTCGGGGACTCTGACGATGAAGAACTTTACATCCGCATAGACAATTCAACTAGTCTCTTCATAATTGCGATATTAACTTAAAAACAATAAATATTTATATACGGTACAAGCGTCTAGATTTCCTTTTTCTTTCGAACATATTTATTCACAACAAGCACTAGGGGTGATTGGCATCAGCGAATTTTGGCAAGCTGCATAACATATGGAACTGATACAAAGATCACCAATCACCTGAAAGCAGCAGCATAACCAGTCTCGGAACATCTGCGGTCGTCCTTAAACGTCAAGAAGCTCGTCTAGGCAGTCTGCAACAACGGTGTCTACGAGGCATGCTCAATGGTATCACGGGGCATCAAAGACGAGGTGCAGACGAGGTCTGAGAAACTACCTGATGAACTTAGGGATGGGTGCCTTGCTCAATTTAATCAAAAAATTCCTAAAAAGCACATAGATCTTTTCCAAACTGTTCTCACCTGGAAATCGTACAGTGACAACAGACGGGTTTGAGAATAACGCAAAATATGAAGAAAACATAACTGGTGCAGACGTACCTACAAAGAAGAATATGACCTATGCCCATCAGTGGACTCTGCCTAATATCAATCTGAGGTACCATTTCTAAACGTCGGACGTCATAAATCTGGGTTACTCTGCTGTTTAAGCTTCGCTAGTCGTTGACAACGATGATACAGCAACATCAACGAATCATTATGAAAGTTGAATTTATCAACAACAAAAATGATCACTTCGCCTCAGTCACATTTCTTAGTTTTGGGTGCACAAAAGGAAACTAAAGCCTGCAATCGCTGGGTTGCCGACCTTCATCACACTGTCATGAGTAGGAGACATTTGTGAAGCCATTCTTTTCATGAAGTTAATCATGGGGTATTGATGTCTATTTCCATGTCATCACCAAGGAGTGTCATACTTCAAAGGCGGAGTCAACAGCACCTAAGCAGCTATCATAGTGTGTATCTTCCTCCTGTTTCCTTTCCACAAAGTGATACTCATCTATTATCCTCGGAACGAAGGCGAGTGAGCCGAGGAAAACATTAAAACACAATTCTCGCAAAAGATCGAAATGCGTCATATAACGAAGAATATGACCTTTGATGCAGCAGCGAACAGAGCTCAATGCAAATCCAAGACGTTATCCCGTTTCAACGAAAAGCGAGTGACCCGCGAACCGAGGCTGGAACCAGCGACCTATCGATTTTGAATCCTACGCTTGACCGGAAAAGGAACCGACTTGTGGATGCCCGAAAACATCAATTTTGACCAATTCTCTATTCACAGTATGCGTAACTTTAGACGACGATTACTATAACACCGACTTTCGCCGTATCAAGTGGCAAACCCTACTTTACAAGACCGGAAGTAAATTTTTGCTTCAATAATACATAGGCACAAATCCTTGTGAGAGTCACGAGCATTGGCTGAAATACGATGCAACGAAAGAAAGCCATGAAAAGGAGAGATGACTGAAAGAGATGCTATTTGTTCTTCGCCGCCTGCCCTACCGAAGGTTGACAAAGATGTTGATCCTCAGTCGGATTAACGAGTGAACGAGTGCGCTTCGCTGCGCTAACCGTCCGCAGCGTAAAGGCGACGTTTGTTTGTTCGATGGTTCGGTCGGTTCAAGGTCGTGGTTGTCGTCGTCCGCAATCATCAACGGCATGTCGCCGTGTATATGAACCACGGTCGACCGGGGAACATGCGACAGCATTAGGAAATGCACACGACTTGGTCGTTTAATTGTCGTCAAGGGCACACGAAGGAAAAATTAACATGGTTATTCAGAAACGAGCTGTTCGGACTAGTTCATCGCCTCATCCCCTTCTGCTCTCTGTTTCAAACCATCGAACGTGAGATTTTTTACAGAAATGTTTGAAAGTTTCATTACCTTTATCTCGTGAGTCGAATATTCATGCATTATCATTTTGTCACAGTCGAATTCCCTCATGTTTCTAATCAAGCAATAAGCCTGTCAATCAACCTTATCCTCCTCGACAGCGCAGTGTTTTTGAAGAACGGCAAAGCGCCGTGCTCGCAATTAATATACACAGTTAGATTCACGGCAAATGGCAAAAACTGACAACGCAAAGCTACGAAAGGCACCTACCAGAAAAATGGCACATGAAGCTATGGCAGACAATGGAACGAAAATAATCCTTATGGCGTATGTCCAATATATACACAAGCAACGGGCGCAGAACAACGGTCGAGCAAATGTCGTACTGTTCGAAAAGCGGCTTCGCCGGCAACTAACTTGAAGATCTCTTAACACGGTAAATCGTTGTGAACAACAAAGACAAGGTAGAAACGCAAATCAATAGATGCCTGAAACGAAATTCAAATTTTTTTCTTTCGTTCGTAGATAATGAAGTGTCAGGGAACAGAGTATATAAATTGCTTGAATTAAAACGATTTATTCAAATAAGGCAACCCGATGTTCTGGGGGGGGGGCAGCTTCCAAAAGCTGGAACTTTCGATACCGCCATTGCATAAATGACATTAATAATAATGATGCCGGATTGAAACGGTTAAAATGTGCAATGTAAGGAAGAAAGGTGTAAGCCTGATGTACAAATTTTTTTGCCTAACACAAATACTGCGGTAGTGCAAGATAGATGGAGTATCACCGCAGTAATTGATATGCCCCCCCCCCCATAAGGGGCCATTTATGCAGACCACAGCTCAGTAGTATTTAATCACCTGCAGTGCATAGGACTTATGATCGCGTCTCTTACTTGGGTTGAACAAAGGCACATTCAAACCCAGATGCATTTCCACTGTCCGTAGGCAAATATTCAGATGATGTTACAACGATAATGACTTTCAGGAGTAAATTCCTAGAATTAGAGATTTTCATATCATCTTTGCATAAAAGGCATGTGAAAACAACTTGTATCATGCTATTAGTTTAATGTGCTATACAAATAATACAATACAATTCGGACAATATCGTTGTGAAACGACGGCCTGTCATGCAATAACTTTTTCTACTGTAATGCGCTCCATCAAACAATTGTCATGTACTTAAATAATAGAACTATTTTAGCCATTGCATCCTGATCACCAGCAAAAATAGTTATGATTGTCATCAATTTCTTAAATGAAACCTACAAGCGGCGAGATCGATCAAAAAACATGAAAACTGTTCCATAATAAACTGAATAAAAATGAATAACGCTCAACATCGTTAGTGACTTGCACGTCGTCAAAGGAAGATTAAAAGCTTTTTCTTGAATTTTTCAATTATTCAAATACTCATCTTAAACCGGTGCATTAGCACTATCTATACACGATTTTGCTGTGCTGAAGTTCTCATTGCTGTTTATTTGCAATTTTTATCGTAATATAAAGCAAACGAAGTTACAAATGCGGGTCATTCAGATTTATTTTACCTGAACGATAATGTGTTTAAACTTGGTCGCAACACTAAGTTGATTACAAAAGTGCCACAAAATTTGTTCAAAAAAATTTTTTATCGAAACTTAGAAGCTATTAAGGCCTAAAAGTATTTGTTTATTTAAATGCATTTTTGATTTAGTTCATTGTTCAGTTTATTTCAATGTCGGGGAGTGTGCAAGTATTATTATGTGTGGAGCAAGTTCCGTATTGATCCTGTAACTTGCATGTAGCGTCAGTCCTGGAGTAGTGACCCTCCCGTATAACATACTCTCTTATGGTGATGAGAACATGACTTACTTTCGCGCTTTTTTGAATGTATTTTGAATATATTTGAATATCATTAAAGGAAGTTTGCAAAAGCACGGAGTTGAGTTTGTAGCGGAAGTAGCACCAAAGTTCAAATACCGTATATATTAAAGTTTCAATTAAATGACATGGTAAGCCATTCTAGACCATTTTGGAAAGTTTTTTTTCAGATAATCTTGCCTTTACTCCTTCCAAAATCTATCTATCATGCCAGTTGGCCTTCTTGCAGACGACGCCGCTTGAGTCCCGTTATTTTGACGAGATGCTTTAGAATGTCGTACGATGCAGCCTCATGTGTCTTCTCATTTGCTCACTTATGCCCTTATTACCAGTTTCTTTAAAATGACTCTCTCCCCAACAGCAGTTTGTCCGAGATATAATCTCAGTATCGCCAATAATCTTTCCGTATTGTATCTCTTTCTTTAAAATACCCGCTAGGGGTGTGGCGCTGTTTGTGTTGCCAGGCAAACAAAACTCGTATATTTTACAGTAATCTTGATAAAGAGTCTGTCTTATGTTCAGCACTGCATATATAATTTAGGAGTTAGCTGCGCGCGGAAAAATTGCGTAACTGGGAGGTTACTCTAGCAGACTACGCTTTGGTGTGTGACTTCACTATGTAGCTTTGGCTAAATGTCGTAAAATAGTAAGACAGGCTATCATATTTTGAAACTATATAAAAAGAAGCAGCGCCTCAACCAATCCGTAAAACGGTGATGAGACGTTTTTCGGAAACAACGCAAACTTGTCTGCTTGTAGTACGTTATCGAATGGAGATAATGAAAAAATATATGGTCAATGATGCTGCCACGCAATCTAGAAAATGTAGAGGTGTTCATCATAAGTAATCAGTCTTCAGGATCTCTGGAACTGAAGAACTGCAAACCGTGCTGTAACTGAAAATTAAATACATTTGCTTGTTTGCCGAATTCTGCTACGGATTAGGCGTTGATGGCGTACTACTCAGTCCTAAGTTAACGTGTTTCAGCCGTAAAACAAAGAGAATACCTACTTATTTAAATAAATGACAAATGAAGTTTTAGTTAAAACCATCGCTTGGTAGTGATGGAAAACTTGAAGAAGAGATCGACCGGCGAATTTGAGTAGCCAGTGGCGTTCTGCGTAAACTAGCCTAACCCACTGCGACTAAAGCAGAGCTCAGTCTGAAAAGTAAGCTCTAGGTGTTCAAGTCGATCTTAATGATCAAGCTAACCAACGGTCTATGAGTCGTGGGCCCATAACTGAAAAACTTCGAACCCGGGTACAAGCTGCTGAAATAGGCTTTCTTAAACAAATCGCTGGCCTTACGCGTCTCGACACTGTCCGGAATACTGACATCCGGAAGAGCCTTCATGTACAGCCCTTTGCCTATCCAGATTGACAAGTCTCTTCAATGACTTGGGCATGTGCTGTGAATGTCTTCAGAAAGGAAGGCTAAGCAACTGTTTCTTGCGATACCGACCGGCAGAAGGCCCAGGAGACGTGAGGATTTACATGGTGCAAATATATGAAGGAGTCTATTAGATACTCCAGTTGTCTTCTACCAAAGTTCAGATTCTGGCACAGGGTCGGGAACGTTAGTAGCTCTGACTGACGCGTCTGCCTTTGCGACCCAAAAGGAGACGTGGCCATGAAAGATGATGGTGACCTTATCTTGCTTCTGCTTGAAACCCCTTCAAAGCATATGCTACGTAGCTAAATAAGTATTGCGGGTACTTTAGTTAAATGTATTGATTGTAAGTATGTTTGTTAACTGATTCCTTATGCTAATTCTGCGCTGGCAGTTATATGTACTCTGATTGTAACTTTTGAATTACATATTTTCACTTTTTAGAGAAACAGAATTCTTGAATGATACCATTCGATCAGCAAAGTTCTATTCGTTTATTCTAGCTGTTAACACAGAGAAGACAACTGTTATGTATGAATTTGTAACTGAAATAATATATCTTGAAAATCAAGAAGGTTGGAGAATATCTTGCTTCTTAGTTCATGTTGTCGAAAGTTTAAGTGGATTTCTTTTTATTTTCGATTGCGCTTTTTGTAATTAAGAAGTTTCAAGTTCGTATATAAGACATATAGCTTTTTAACCGATTTGTTTGAGATAACGCATATTTTGTTTATGGCAAGGTTTCGCAGTATTAAGCCATGCTAAATACCGCAGGTGCTGGTTAAGTTACAAGTTCAAGTATTTCAAAGTGTAATAGTAGCTGTTCCCAACAGCATTGCTTCGTTTATTTCCTGTACACAATTGCGTAGTGTGGCAAATATTAGTCAAGTGCTTGCTACACATGTAAAGCTTTGTCCAAGAGTGCTCCATCAAACTTTATCAGATTTATTAAAATCAAATAAGTAAGAAACAGAAAGACACTAAATCTCATGATCGGGCCGAAATTTACGCGATGTTTATGTAAATCCCGCTCTGCAGAAAACGTAATTCGGCAATGTCTTCGAGTACGGGTGCGTATCGTTCATGATCTCATTGACGAAGTGTAATCGCAGTTGCAGTTTTCATCAAGTGATATCAAGCAATATCTTGGATGCGGCTTGTGATATTACACAATGGTTTACAACTGAAATATGACACCGTTTATATGTGATTCGGGTAATGCTGTTTCACCGAACCGCCAGCAGATTTCCGATATGCTTGGATGAATAATGTTCCATTTATCACGAACAAATTTCTACCACTTGATTAGAATAATGGGACATCTAAGGCATTTAGTACACTGCGGCGTATCCGGCGAATCTTTGTTGTGATATTCGTATATCTACACGTTGTTGCACATAACTCGTTCCACTTCACGTTTCACGACATTAAACCTGCACACTCTTTACTCCTATTTGGGGATTACTTAATCGTCTCACTTGTCCATATCATTTGAGCATTTGCAGTTCTACCCGCATCTCACGTCATTGGGTTCGCTGAAACAACCTTGTGCTTGTCATATATATATCGTACACATCGTATATATAGCCTCCGAAACTCTGTTAATTTCCTACTTTGAAAAAAAAAAACTCGAGACGAACTGAAACCTCAGTATTTGTCAATTTTCTGAATAATAATGTTTTTATGTGTTGTTCATGAACTCATCAATAAACCGGTTTTATGCTGTTTTACGTATTTACGGTACTGTATATAGGTAGTTATTTCAGTCACACCACATGAGCTGTGACATAAGTGGTATGAGAATTACTTCAGCTCGAACCCTTTACAAGGGGTTAGGGAACTGCAGCATCCTGGTTTTAGCTAGTAGGGTCGGTCATGCTTTCGTCAATTCATTCACCTTTATCGCTCATCATTTGATTTTAGTAGGCTTTGATGGTTTCTTTTGACTGTTTCGAGTGCACAAATCACCACAGAAATGACTTTTTCTATTCTTTCTAGATCTCCTGTATTTCCATCATTAATTCTTCATATTCCACGATTTTCTCTCTCCCATTAAGTACAACTTTACCGTCAGTCGAAAATGCCATTTCGTTGTGTCGCATTTTTGCCTGTCTACCGCCATAATATCCGGATAATGCCAAAATTTCTTTCTCTGTTCGCATTGTTAAATCTCAGAGCGTTTTGCTCGTTCTGTCTTTCGGTAGATGTTTCCACGAACCAGGAAGTTGGTTCACTTGCGCAGATCCAATGTCAATAGACTATCCTTGCAACGTTGTTGTGCCTTTCCTAATATTCTCAGTTCACGAGCGTTTTGCAGCTAGAAATTTTATGGTTCACGGTCTCATGCTTCACTTGGTGCATTCATCACTTCGCTTTTGAGTATGTCTACAGGATCTTCACGTTGCACGAGTTTTTCAGTGCTTAATTTTGGTCGGTGTTGGCACAATATTTACACAGTATTTAACAGTCCGTTTCGAACTCCGGACTGTTTCTTGAGCAGTTATTGTTTTATTCAAGAATTTCCTTGAACAGAACCGATAGATTACGAGTTCAAGCCCTAGTCGGGACCAGTCGCTCTTCTTTCTTCTGAGGTTGATAACTGAGTACAAAGATGGGGGAAGGAAAGAAGAGAATACACACTGCGCTTGCCATATGATTGTAGTCTTTGCCTTTATAACAAGGTACTCCTGGCTGATGGCATAGAAAATGAGATCAGTACTATGCCACATACTGCATGAAAAGAAGGTGCCATAATATTCCAATCATTAAAGTACAGCAAGACCGATATTCCAACGGTGACCAACTGTCATTTTTTCCTTCGTCTTAGGTGGTTATTAGAAAGGTTTCCATTTCGCTATGGAGTCTGCTTTCTGATAGCCTCTGTTGATGTCTGTATCTTCACTGAATTGTCAGAGATACTGTTCATGGTGCTTTTTATTCTTCTGACTATGTTACTGGAAGGTCTCTACATTTTTTTGATGATCTTATGCATTTCTAGCTGTTTGTTTTTCTTACTTACGCTATCTGGCTACATTCATAGCTGTTAGCACATTCTCCTTTACTGTTGTTGCCAGATATTGCTTTATGGATTATGACTCTAATTTCATCGTATCTTTAACACAATGAAGCCCTCTTTATACTTCTTTACGCAGGATTTATAATCTGTCTGATATTGAGTTCTTTCTTGTCTCTCCGTCCAGTTTCAGTCTTTCCACTTGCGTCCATTCCACTGTGCCTCCTATATAAACAAGCACTGGCATCGTCCACTGGTTAGTGGCGACCATTTTGTTTTCCCCTAAATGTACCTTGGTGATCGTCCAAGAATGGCTCAAAACGTTGGCAGTTTCTGTAATGAATTTTAAATCTCAGCAAATTGATAAGAAACATGAAGACCGCCGTTCATCAAAGATGTATAGTTATTTTCTGTGCAAAAATGCAAATTTTTATTATATAAGTGGTTCTTGTTTATTCTATTTTCGACGTCCTCCATCACTTTAGGGTTTTGCGGGCATCTGCTTCTTAATGCTTATCCGGTAGTTCCGGTGGAATGATAAATAGGTTCGTAGTATAGGTTTTAAGGTCTGACAGTGCTGGTCTATTAAATAATTGAACCATTTTGTCAGCAGTTTGCCTCTGGGTCGCCGTCAGTGTGGTTGTGCCAAAACAAAGCGTATGCTTTGTCTCTGCTGTGATACCGTCACATATCCACGGTACCGCATTTGAGGTATAGCGATTTGGTGAGCAGATGCGGGGCAGTGGTAAAGGGTGACATCTTTTGTCCATCTTTCACTAGACTTCTTGTCGATAACCCACTGTCGTTCCTCGTAACCAAATCAGTCAAGAAGGCATTCGTTGCCTCGCCATTGTCTGACTTCCCTGTTTAAATCACTTATTACTGACTTGTAATGGCTTTTTCCATATTCATGCATTTCATCTATTCCTTTGTAAGACTTTCTTTGTGGTGTCTTGATGTTGAGGCATTTACTTATATATCACTTGGAATTCGTATCTCTTTAAAACTCTCGGAAACGGTCTTGCACACAAAGTGTTGTCCTATTTGTTCCTTCGTCTACTGCGAATAATGAGCCTACTCCTTCTCTACCTTTTTACCGATCCTCTGTTGAAAAGAATGTTCACTGTTAAGTTCTGACAGCTTGATTTGTCGGTCTTGATTTGTCCCAGTTCCTCCTTCCTCCTCCTTTTACCTTTTGAAGTCTTGCTTTACCTATATGTGATCTATTGTTTTGCGTTGCCAGCGTTTGTAGCACGCATCAGTTCAGGTCCATATCCCGAATATCTTCTGCATCCTCTGCCTTCATTTTTTGAAAGCTGTTGCATTCGCCAATGATAATCCAACCTCTGGAGGGAATGAAGGCCTTGATTTTAGTCATGATTTGATCTTGGAGGATTTGGCCATGCGGATTGGTGAGTTCGTCACTTCCTCTTGGCCAGGTAAGTTTCTCAGGCATTCACAACTTGATTGATTCTGCCTGAGATTGGAGACTCAATTTTAGATCGTCTTGAGAACTCATTGTCACCCTCTGCTAAAGTAATGGCAGTGAGACTTGCGAGTGCATGCGTATCCTTAATAAATACTAATTATTCCTTATGATGCAGAGATTCAGAACTTACCGATGCTATTTTATATTACAGTAATAAGCTGCAGTATATTTTTTGTTATCATAAAACCCATTTTCTCGAGAGCGCAAAACTGACAGTTCCTCATATTTTTCAAACAAATGCTTGAGCATCGCAACAACGATGATACTGTTAAAGAATAATGAATGTGATTGAATAATTAGACTGCATCTTATGTAGTCCCATATACTTCGAGTAAACGAAGATTTCTTGTGTTATATTCGAGTAAGAAATATTTTACCGTTATGCTGCTATGACAATGGCGCATCACGTGATTGTGTAACTAAAGGATACTGTTTTAATTTACATTACTATTAGTACTTCGGCGTTGTAGTACTAATACTAGTAATTATTGGTGGAATACTGTATATACCTTATGTCATGTTACTAATGTCGAGGAGTTTGAAGCAATAATCTGTGAGATATTTTTAGTATTCTGTCCATCTTTACTTTTTATGACGCTATGTTTGTTGCTTTAGTCGACTTCATTCCATCCTGAATGCTGCGCATTGCGTGTTCCATTCTGAAACCGTTCAGTCGGAGGCTGACTCCGACGCTGTCCACAGTCACAGTCATGCGACAGAGTTCTGCGGTTGTCAAGGAAACGCCCGAAGAATTCGATCAGCGATACGTTGATTTTTTTAATCAACCCGATATCGACGGCTGGCTCGTAAGAAAAGGTATTGGAGCCTGTTGGTTATTGACATCAGTGCCTACCTTTGTGCTACTGTTTACTGGCTTTGTATTACTATTACTGTACTATTGCTACTACTGTTAGCTTTTTGTTTATGAGCTAGAATGGAGATGGCATCGAAATGGAGATCAGCGCTGAACCGGAAATTACATGAAAAGAAGGACACTGCAAATGGATCCCGTTATGGAAGTGTAAGGGAGACCGACCCCCTGCCCTACCCCACATTCCAAATGTAAGGTAAAGTAATAGGCGAATAAGATAATTGAAAAATAAAAAAAAACTGGTCAAGCAGCCTTTTAACGAGCAAGAATATTAATGTTGCGTGAAAAGAGTTGTTGAAAAACATGGGCTGAAACTGACGCATTTCATGAAAGATTCACCTGGCGAAGCCGAAAAGATTGGGTATTTCGTTCATACGTTTGTGATCATGCTGAAAACTGCATATAACACATCTCATTTATTCACAACGCAACCAACAGTGTCAATCGAACGATCCTTCTGGCTTCAAACCTACCAACCGTTTTGAACGACGG